GTTATGCTATTATGTCTAGATATGATATCTAAAACAATCTATTAGCAAAAGTATAACAATGAAACCAGAATCAAGTACTGCTGAGATTGTCCGTTTTAGTCTCAAGTTAAAACAGAAATAAAAATGTATATTCATATCAAAATTATCATAAGATAAACCTTGGTTCATCAATGTGCTACCGACTTTTATCATCAAAGTCCTCACGTAAGGATTAGTATAGGAATCATTAGATGTACAGTGTATGTGCTGTGATGCATGTTGTATTATGTAAAACGGTCACGCTGTTTAATCTTGTTTAGGTAATTTAATGGTAGTTGATCCTTATTTTCGTTGAAATCTCTTTTCAATCGTGCAAATTAAAAGTGTATCTTTAACAAATGAATTGTTTACATTTAATCAGCATTGATATATTTCCTTTTACCCATCAACAGTGACCAGAAATAGCTGATCTTCAGCCATTCACAGTTTACCTTTTACCTATTGGTACTTAACCTTTTATCCATAAATAGTACATATTTGACCCATTACTTTTTTGCTTTTTACTTGTAAATAGTTTACTGTTAACCCATTTACATCTCACCTTTAGCCCATTGATATTTTACCTGTAACCCATCTCTATATTACTTTTAAGCCATTATTATTTTAACTTTTACCCATCAACACTTTCCCTTTAGCCAATTAACATTTTACCTTTAACCCTGTAATAGTTTACCTTTAATTAATCAACAGTTTACCTTTAATTCATAAGTAGTTTATTTATTACCTATAAATAACTTACATTAACCCCATAAATAGTTTACCTTTACCTCTTAATATTTAACCTTTAACCCATTAATATTTTACTTTTAACCCATTATCATTTTACATTTTGCCCATGAACACTTTACCTTTAGTCCATTAATATTTTAGCTTTAACCTATAAATAGTTTACCTTTAATCAATCGATAGTTTATTTCTTACCCATAAATAGCTTACCTTTAACCGAGTAATAGTTTATCTTTAACCTATAAATTGTTTATATTTAACCCATAAATAGTTTATTCTTTCCATTGTTGTTTCAGAGATTTAGAAAAGTTTTAATCATGTACCTCTGTGAGCACGTCATAGAGATGATAGGCTTCTGCAAGTTCTTCAGCGTTTCTTATCTCGTTTTCAATACTTGTGCCATTTCGTATCCTCTGTAGAAAGCTATCCAGATGATCAACTGCCATTTTTTCGTGCTATCACAGATAAATAGGTAAGCAATGTTTTATCTCAATATCATGTTTCTTCCATTCCACTGATAGATAGATTTATCACTGAACAAATTGCTTGAACCAAAATATGAACATGTTTGACCGACGTTGACCAAATCGTGTCAAGGTGAGCGTAACTAAAGCCACAGATATAAAATATAATTCAAATGCATGTAACGAAGCATGCAAATTTCGTCATTTTTTATATATCAAAAATTTGAAAAAAAGCCTACAATATATTGTTATAAACATGGCGGAAGAATACTATAAATTTCATCGAAGATTAACAAAAATAAAATAAAGTGAGGGAGGTGTTGTGATAAAGCTGAAATGACAAAGTTTCGTTCCGTTATAAATAATCTCAACGTAATTTGAGAACTTTTACGTAGAAATCATTTTTTAACGTCGATTTTTCCTTTTTATGTTATTATAAGACATGGTATGAATATACCTTATTCCTCATGTCCTTTCTTGCACCATGCTTAAGAAGAACATTTGCCTTTTTAGTCCATCCATTTATCCTGTATCTTGTAGTGTCGAAACAGTACATCAAGGGACAGTCGCCATACTGTGTGAAATAAAGCACAGCATTAGTATTATCTTCATGTTATGTTCTCGGTCTTTAAACATAAACGGGGTAGCTCACATAAAGATGCCATAATGGGCAAAATGGCGGTTTCATAAACATTCTTAGCTCCATCACGAGCTATTGTAAAACTGCTTCATTATCATTCTTCCTTCCTCTATGAACTAACCTTGAACAATTTCATTAGCATTCTTTCTCCTTTTACGAACTAACATCAGACGATTTTTATAAATATTCTAATTTTTCCACAAACTAACGTGGAAACGGTTTCATTAAATTTATATCTTTTCCACGAAGTATCATAAATATAACGTAAAAGGACTGTACTGTGATAACATTTGATTTGCATTAACTGATCAAGAATGACAAAATGAAAATAGTTACGTTATTTTGGACATTTGGGTTTGCGTCCTTCTCAAGGAGAAACGATAGGATGGATTGTTTTCCAAACCTAACAGCTTCATGCAACGGTCTGTCATCAATCTGTAAGTGAAATGACACTGGCATGATTAGAGCAGTTTTGTCGTTTTAAATGTGAGATTTATTAGTCATGAATGATAGGTACAATGTTGTCTTGCTAGATCTTGATGTTGGATTTACTAGACCTAAATGGTAAGTGCAATCGTGTCATGTTCTTTGTCAGATTTATTAGTCCTGAGTGATAAGTTCTACTCTGTCATGATATAATTTTGATTTTCTATTCCTGAATGATAGGTTCAGCATTGTCGTATACCATGTTAGATTTATTAATCCTGAATGATAAGTGCAACTCTGTCAAGATATATTTTTGATTTATTAGTCATGAATGATAGGTGTAAGTTTATCATGTTTATCATGTTTGATGTAGATGTTGCATTTACTAGTCCTAAATGATAAGTGCAATCGTGTCGTGTCACATGTTAGATTTTTTAATCCTGAATGACAGGTGCAATTTTGTCTTGTTAGATGTAGATTGTGGATTTACTAGTTCTGAATGA